ACCTGTGCAGGTGCACAGGGATGCCAAACTTCAGTCACCTTTGTACACGAGAGTGTCAGACTGTATACTAGCCTATGACAGTCCTGTGCAGGTGCGCAGGGATGTTTTCCTGCACAGATGCACAGGTGTGGAAAGATGTTCCTGCGCACGTGCGCATGCATTTGAGAACAAAAAAAATTAAAGCAGCCTCTGCCAGCCCATGCAGTTGCTCCATCTCCCTTTGCAGCATCCTTGAGGCTGGAGGTGCAGTTGCTGGGGCTTCAGTACAACCTCAGAAAAGCTGCATTGACTCCCCCCAGTGTGGTTTCTCCATCCCCATTTAGGGGAACCTCAGGGCAGGCAGTGCGGTTGCTGCAGCTTAGGGAAAAGGCAACTTCAGGTCACCTTTTCCTGCCTGTCTGCCTAAACCCTTTGTCCAAAAAGGGGATTTGAAGTCAAAAATTTTCTGCCCTCATCTTTTAATTATTGTCCCACTGCATTTCAAAGTCATCAGCGCTTAGCAAAAAACGTACAAATGTTACAAGTGGCTAGGGGATTTTGGGAGGTGCAGTCAATTTTTCATGCTCTGCCTTCATATAACCGAAAGTGGCAGTTATGGCAAGGATGCTGAACCAACATCTGACATGATAGAGAAGGGAATTGTTTAAGAATGGAAAATATGGGAGCGTCTCTTGAAAGACAAGAATGCTGAGCCTGTTTTTTTTTTTTTTGTGGAGCAAAAGAATTGTAGGGATTTCAAAAAATGTGCAAGGTTGCACATTTTGAGCACTGATGTAAATACACAGTTAGCATATTAAAAGGAGCCACAGTATTCCTGGCGTTTTCATTCTGGAGTGGCACCAGCCCAGAACTGACAACTGCACAACTGATACTTCTCCATAGCTTAAGAAAAGCACTGCCAAATGTGGGCCTGTCATTTCAGGACAACAGCTGTTTTGGAACTGGATGCTGTGCTTGGCTTGGAAAAGTTATTTTTTTGGACTACGACTCCCTAAACCCTCACCCATGCTAGCTGTGGGATTCTATGACCTTAAATCCAAAGAAGTAACTTTTTCAAGCTCTACATCTTTGCAATCTCGTCCCCACTAGCAACGAGTTTCAGTCTTATTCCCAGGACCAGCTATATGGGGCTGGAGCAAAAGGTGGTGAATTGCTTGCCAGTCATGGTAGGATGGCAAGGGTGTAGGGATGGGGAGGGAAAGAAATACCTTCATTTAAGAATTCTGCTCCCCAGTGAAATTTTGCGTCAGTCCATCTCAGCAAAGTGTTTAGAATACAGTTTAGGCATCCGAAGAAAAGGATATGGTAGAATCCTGCAAAACCCTAGCACTAACACTACAACATTGTATCTGTATAAGGAAGCCATGTACCCTTTGTATGCTGCAGGGATCATCTTTGATGCATCTCTAGGTGGTATAATTTGGGTTACTGTGAAAATTCGTTCCTTCATTTAACACATATGCTGACCTTCATACAAGTGTTCAATGCTTACTCAGAGAAAAAAACAACAACACATTTAGTAATCTCAGCTTTTGAAAGTAACGTATTTGGTGGAATTTCAAACCAATATTTTCTCTACAGGTTTTCAGAAAAATCCCAGCACATTAGACTTTTTAAACAGTTCCATTCATTATAGTAGGATGACTTTACACAGCATACGTTCACTTCCAAGTTACTATTGTTTAGATTACAGTTATTTTGCATATGAAAAATGTTGTATTTTTACTTTTGACTTTGTATTTGTATTGTATTTTGATTTACTTTGGTTTGGAAACTTCACAAAATACTTTCTAATTAAAATACATTAACTGGAGGGGAGTATTTTTGTCATTACCTATGAAAACGATTTTGCTACGGAAACCTCTTTTATAGTGACCAGTGTCCAAACCAATTCTTGGGTTTGCTTTCCCAATTTTTGTCACTGGCCTCCAGTGAAAATTGTCTCACTATTCCCCTGTATGGTAGATATTATCCAGTGCCCTGGCAAAATGTGTATCTCTGCTGCTACCAAAAGGATATTTGCCTGCCCCTGCTGCTACTAGTTCCCATGGAACAGGTCTCCTTTCCTGTTCCCACTGGGCTGAATCAACTGTCTGTGCAAAACTGGAATCCAACACCATGGGTGGACTGGATCTCTTCTCCAATCTATAGGTCTCAACATGCCCCTCAGATCTCTTCTGTAGGTGTAGTGAACCCTCTGGGACCAGGTGCAAGGAGGTTTCAGTAGAGAAGAGAGGAAGTCCTGATGTGTGAGTCAGAAGACTTTTTACACAACATTGGCGGGAGCCAGAACATGGCCTTGCTGGTTAGAGGATTCTGGGAACTGTAGTCCAGAAAGTAACTTCTCCAAGCTCTGCCTAGAACTTCTCCAAGCTCTGCCTAGAGTCCCTTATTATTGGGGAGGTTGGGGGAGATCCCAGTGCTAAGAAGGGAATATGAAGGGAATGTTATATTCAATGAAATATGAATGAAATATTCCTGTTTCTTTCTCTCTCTCTCTCTTATTAAATTTAAAAATGCACACAGCTCTGCACATATAATTGTGCGTGTGTGCATGTACTATGTGCCTGCTAGTCATTTCTGACTTATGGAGATTTCTTGAGGTTTTCTTGGCAAGATTTGTTCAGAGAATGTTTGCTGCTGCCTACCCCTGAGGCTGAGATCATGTGACTCATCCATGGACAAGCTCGGAATTGAACCCTGGACTACTAGAATTGTAGTCCAGCACTCAAACCACTATGTCACGCTGGCTCCACACACTTAAATTACACATATACAATACTCCTATCTTAAACTAACAGTGTACACTAAATCCTACTCTCCTACACTACACCCCCCCCACAATTTCCCCAACACCGCCCCTTACACAAAACCATAATAAATACATAACACTATAACACAAACTACAATTGAACTTCTCACTTCCCAAGTAAGAAAATAGCAATGCTCAGTATAAACTATTTCTAAATATTAATCTTTTAATTTATCCCTGTTTCTGATTCAGCAGCAATTCCTTACAACAACCCACTCTTGGCAATTGTGTGCCCTTTCAAATGCTAAGGCTGATTTCTGTCTCCAAAAAAGCCTTGCAAATGTAATGTGAAAATGACAATGGTGAAGGACTTCTGGCTTGCATGCTTGAGACTGTTCCTGGCAAAGAAGCTATCAATTTGGGTCACTCCCGCAAACTCAGAAACCCACAACCTACTTTTTAATCTCTTCGAGTATTACATTTCCAAGTGGTTTGTTGATTCACAGGAATAAGTGATGCCAGAAGCCGAACCAAGGAAGACCCAGGAGAAAGCTGCTTTGTGTTTGTGTGGGCCTTAAGAATATTCCACCAGCTTTGAGAGAATCTGTGTAAAAGGCAAGATTACTTTGCCTTTTCTAGGGTTGCATTCTTGGCTACCTGGATGCTAGATTTTGCTGCTTTCTCCCCTTGTAGGTGATAATTGGCAGTCGAAATTGGTATGGGTTCCTTTGCTAGTGTTGCAAAGCCTAAGGCAGTGGGAGGAAAATCCCTGAGAAAAAAGTGGTAGAGACTAATGGATAGTGGAGACCATTAGGCAAGCTCACTCAAAGATATATATATATATATATATACACACACACACAGTGGTACCTCTACTTACGAATGCTTCAACTTACGAAAAATTTGACTTACGAAATGCGCCTCCGAGTTAGTTTTGCTTCAGGTTACGAAATTGTTCTACTTACGAAATTGGCGCGAAGGAGCCGCTCCATGGGCTTGGCTTCCAAAGCGGCCGCTTCGGAAGCCAAGCCCACGCCACGGCTAAAGGGACAGCGCGGATGTCCCTTTAGCCGCGGCTTGGGCTTGGCTTTCGAAGCGGCCGCGCCCCGTCCCTTTAGCCCCAGCCTGGCTCTCCTATGGGCCTGGTCGCCACTTCGCCTTTAGTGGGTTTCCATGGCCAACTGGAAATCAAACTCTGACCTCCAGAGTCATAATCACTACACCACGCTGGTGCTCTTAGCATCTCTTAGGGCCTTTGCAGACTGCCAGAAATAGTGCAAATTGAGTCCACTTTAACTGCCCTGGTTCAGTTTAGGGAATCATGGGAATTGTATTTTTTTTCTGAAACATTGAGCCTTCTCTGTCAGAGAGCTCTGGTGCCACAATAAACTACATTTCCCATGATTCCCTAGCACTGAGTCATGGCAGTTAAAGTGGACTCAATTTGCACTATTTCTGGCAGTCTGCAAAGGCCTTTAGTATCATTGCCTTTAATTATTTTAATGGGAACCATACTGGCCTTCTATTTTTTTTTAAAAAAAGGAGTACTGAATAGCAATGTTATGCTTAATATAATATGTACTTCAAAGCTCTGTTTATAACCATGGGGAATTACAGTCCAACACATCTGGGGGCACATCCACACTGCACACTTACAACAGTTTGATCCCACTTCTCCATAGCCCTATCCTATGGAATGCTGGGATCTGTAGTCTGGTGAGGGACTTAGAATTCTCTTATCAATTCCCTTGAATTAAAGCTCTAAAGCTCTTCAGCAGAAAATTCTAACTACAAATAACAAATGCCAGGATTTCATAGGATGGAGGCCTGGCAGTTGAAGTGAGAGGGCTATTACTGTGTAGTGCAAGTACATTCAGAAAGGACGCTCAATTGGAGAAGGCTATTTTACAGCAATGGCTTTTTCCACGGTTCTTAAGTCAACTTAGGATGGGCCAAACTAGAGATCACATTGGCTGGCATTTTATTAGTTAATTACGCAGACATACATCAAACTCATGTCTGCATAACTCACTTTTTGGTAATTGCAGAGATCAGAATCTTCTATCAACTGTGCAGAAACCGCCACATCCTTTTAGCTGCTATAATCCTGCTCCCCACATGGCCTACTGTATTCCTATAGGTGGTTATACAGAAATATCCTGTGGGACCTTTGGAAGACCCCTGGGACATCCTGCAGGATATCTGTTGCTGTGCTCAGAGTCTCAGAATTAAGGTCCAAAGCATCTGGAGGGCCAAAAAATCCTCACACCTGATGTAAGCCTTTCTGCATAACATTTATGGTGACGTACATTTGTCAACCACCTTAGTCCTGCTTCCCTGTTTTACCTTTTGATACATTTGTATGCCCAGAAACGGTTTCCTATGTCTTTTTTAAAAAATATATATTTACAAACAAAACATGACAACAAACATTATACTAAAACAACAACAAATAAAAATAATGTCGGAGACAGTAAACCCTCAAATGTGGTCGTTTCACTGAAAAAGCAGAAATTAAACCATAACCCCAAATAATCCACTGGAAATTATAGAGAAAAATCTGGATTGACTTTCCAAATGATTTGACATCCAGTTATTGAATACATCCAGTAGGACTTGGTTTCTAGAAATCCCCCAATCATATCTAAATTTTTATGGAAAAATGTCTTCCAGGATCTCTGAATACACCTAATAATAATAATAATAATAATAATAATAATAAATAAACTTTATTTTTGTATCCCGCCTTTTGCCAAGGCTTACACCATTAAGATAGATAAAACAAACCCCACACTGAACAATAAAACATGATAAAAACAAGTCCCCCCCCCTTAAAAAAATAAATTAAATGCACTACTAAAATAAGTTAAAAATGACTGGTGTTTTAGCACTGGTAAAGATGTAAATGCGGGAGAGACACAGATTGGGGTAGAGTCTATTCTATCCGGGGAAGGCCTGCCAGAAGAGATCCGTCTTGATGGCTTTTTAAAAATTGTCCAAGCTAGTTATTTGACGGATCTCTTCCGGCAAGGCATTCCATAGTCTGTGAGCAAAGACAGAGAAAGAACTCTGGGAGGTTACTGATAATCTAGTTTTTCTCATTTGCAGTAGGTTCCTCCCAGGGGATCTGAGGGTGCAGGGCGGATTATATGGAAGGAGGTGATCCCTTAGATATGATGCTTTGAGCCTTAAAAATACCCAGCCCCCAAATAGTATGCAAATAGTCAACTGCACCTCCCAGAGGATTCGAGGGACACAACTGCACATTTAGATAGCATTTTTAAAAATTTTTGCACTGGAGTGGTGATATGGGAATGTGTGTGTGGCCAGGAGAGGATCAAAAGTGGCCCACAGACCCCATCAAAGTTCCTCACCCTGGGTTTATAGGGTTGAAGCCACAATCTATCTTCTCTAGGTGGCAAGCTCTTGTTCATAGAAGCTATCTCAGGTTGATATGAAGAAATCTAATCCCACAGTTCAACCCATTCATCAGGGTGTCTTGTCCCTCTGCATAGCCTTTGGAGAGCGAAAAAGAGAAGAAAGCCTTTGTCAACAAGCCCAGCCGCTTGCACCTCAGTCTGGATCCAATTCATCAGCAGCATGTTCTGTAGCCACAAAGTACAGAATGTGATCATCTATTACAAATGCTGCTACCCATTTGGGGAAGTCAAATCACATGGCCACATTTCCTTTCCTTTGGTTTTTTAAGAGATAGCTAGCCTTTAATTGGCAAGGCATCTCTGCTTTTTCTCTTAAGAGATGGGCAGCAGTACAAACAGGGTTGGCTGTTGGGCTGGTTCCTGTTTCTTTTCTTTTTCTTTCTCATATCCTTTGGAACACTAAATGCCTTCGTACATTACTATCACTATTCTCTTCCTTCAGCTAAAGTTTAACAAACTTGGGGGGGAAGCAGACCAGGGCGTCCGGGACGCCCTGGGACGGTGCACCGCGGGACCATGGCAGCTGCACCGCGGTGCACCGGCGGTGTCCCTGAAAGGAGCACTAAATTGGCACTCCTTTCAGAAGTCAGGGAAAGTGCACCCTAAACGCGTCAGGCACACTTTCCCTGGCTTTTCCACCGCAGCGTGTGAGGACGCTGCGGCGGGAGGTTGCCCCCGGAGCGCCGGCCGTGCGGAGGGCTGGCAGCTCCAAGGGCAACCTCGGGAGGAGGAAGGGGTGCTGCTCGTGCGGCTGCCCCTCCTCTTCCTTGCCTCGGAGACGACTTTGTTAGTTGTCTGCCGAGGCCCTTGGTTTGCAAGCAGTGGTTCTCCCTTGCCCTCTTGGTTGGGTGGCTTTGGGTGCAGCTGGTGACTCCCAAGTCAACTGGGCAGTGAATTCAGGTATTAATTGAGCCTTTAAAGGGATGTTGAATATTATTCCTAAAGATGTTCAGCCCCTTGGAGAGATCCTTTAAAGACTGGATTCACTATGCCATTGGTAGTGTAAAGAGATGCAGGAGGGTAGTCAGGGAGTTTGCTGTCCAATTTATTTATCTTTTGGACTTCATTAGGGGAAGGTGTGCAGGAGTGGTGCTGCCCCCCAAACATATTTGTTTGTTTGTTTGTTTGTTTGTTTCACACGAAATATTGCAAATATAACAGGTAACAAATAGGTTAATAAAACAGTAAAAAAGTGAACAAATTGAATTAACAATAACGAAGATGGATGCTATTGGGTAGGTTGAAAAAGATGAAGACATCTCTGGGAATGAAAACCTGGTTGAAGTTTCCTATAAGACTTTGTTCCAAAGTTCTAGAAGATGGAACAGTGGAATCATCATTTGGCAATTTTTATTAACATTTTCTAGGCATGGAAGCCATTTTTCTATAAAAGAATCATTTAACATGGACTTCTTCAATTTGTTTGATCTGTCTCTTAATTTGCCCATTAATAAAGTATCTCAGGACGTTATCACACGTGGGCCAGAAAGCGATAATAAAGTGGAAATGAGGCATTCTGAAAATAAACCGAAAATAAACCTTGATTCCACAAATGGCTT